AGAAGAGGTTTTGGGGATATTATAATAATTTTAATAGTTAAGATCACGAGTCAGTTGAAACTAGACCGTCATGGAAAACCCGGGTCTGTTATGGGATAGTAACTCACTGAAGACAGTAGTGGATGTACCGCTCAGTCTCGTGGATTAGTTGAAATAACACATTAACACCGATAGATACCGGCTCAGTGGTTTAGAGGTTAAGCGCTTGTGCGCGAGACCGATAGGTCTTGCGTTCGAATCTCGCGAGACAGGATCGTGGATGCGCACTGCTGGGTCCCACAGTAAGACAAAACGCCCGTCCAATGTTTCCAGGTTTTCCATGGTGGTCTAACTTCAATTGTCTCATGATTTTAACTATTGAAATATCTGAGATATATTTTAGAAAAATCGTATTTATAAATGTCTTATCTTTATAAAGTCATATCAATGATGATAATTAAACCCAGTAAATCAGTTTGAGTAAATTGTTCCATGATACCAGCAAACACCTATAAATCATTTTATTAACATAGCAGATAATTACTCTGCCACTGCGCAAAACAAATTTGTTGTTAGTGTAAAGGGTTTGTGGAAATTACTGAATTTTTATCGTTTATATCATGAATTGCTACTATCCGTACAACACTGAAAACCAGGAAGTACTATTTGGTCCTAGCATGGAACCTCTCAGTATTATGCACTCACAACTTCATTGAATGCTAGACCTTCCAGTTTCGTAGTGTGAAAACAACCTATAAGTTAGCACGTAATTATTCGTATTCCTAGCTTCAATCAATTTATACCGTTTAAGACTCATTTTATTAGGTGATATGTTGATAACTGTATCACATTTGAAATGATTAAACTCTATTTGTTTGAGCTTCTTATTAGAATGCCAGGAATCATCCATTGAAATTATTCACTCATGGAATGATGACTCATTTATATAAAGAGACTCGAAGTCAGTCAGTCATTCAGTTGAAAAGTGGGAACAGCCACATATGTACATCGGTCCAAGTTGCCATACCTCACTGGCACAACAAGATGAACACCGGATTCATAGAAGTAGTTAATTCAGAGGTGGTAATATATAAAAGAAAGATTGCAATAAGGATATAGTACAGGAAGAAAGAATTAGTTCGTAGAAAGAATGATATGAAGCGATTTTATTCTCTTAGTTTAAGGGAAGACAGAGAGTGTATACACCGACGCTATTGTGATCGATTCTCAGCCATATCACCAAGAATCTCCAACCATTGGTTACGATAGTCACGCGGACCACAACCAAGTAGTCTGCATCTACCAACATGGCTCAGACTAGAAGTTAGTGACTTCAAGCACTGATGCCACGTTTTGATTTGGCCACCCCTAACTTTCTTCCAACCATATCCAATACCAGTTAGCATTGCGCGTCGTGGTCATCGATGTTCGGCCATATGTAACAAGTGGCCCCAACCATCTCAGTCGATGAAGATTCACAACCTCATAAACTGATTGTTGGTTCGATCTCCAATAATATCCTGGATCCATACCAGAGCAAAACATCTGGTTACTACTTCCTAGTTTTTAAAGTTTATATAACCAAAGTATAAAAAAAATAAACAACTTTTATCAAATAACAAATTAATTTAACAACTTATTTACAAACAAGCAAACAAACAAAAATATACATACAAATCTATCTTTCTATAAATCATTAAAAAATAATAATCTGGTAATTTCATCATTAAATTTTCGCTTAAAATAGTAATGATCTAAATTGTAAACTGAATTTATGGACAAATTATATTGTTTTGTTGTGGGGTTGTTTTTTTTCCTGTATCAATTATGTAACATCTGCTTCATGTGTAATGCATCAACTTATTTCAAATAATAAATAATTAAAAATAATAATAACAATAATAATGATAATAATCAAGCATAAAATAAATAATGAACCAAAAGTTCATGAATTACATTCATTATGAAGAAATAATTTTTATATTATTTTAATAATTTAATAATTATTTGTTGCTATGCTGAGTTATTGATGGATATTACTTTTTTTCCCTTCTTTTCTTTTTCTTTTTTTTCTCCTTTTTTTTGGTGATATATTTATTGATAATTTAATTATACAAATATCTTACCACCAAAAGCGAATACAAATGATCGTTTATTTTATTTGTTTGTTCGTTTGTTTTTTTGTTTACATATTTGTTATTTTTTTGGGGGGATCTATAAATCATAGACATAATTAGTTATAAATTATAGTTATCAATCAATGATGAGATATAAGAAATTTGCTTCATATATTTGTAGTGGTTACAATGTCAATTAAATTTAATATTATTGGCTATTGTTTGGTATAGAAATAAGGTTAACTAGTTTGAACAATATGATGTAATTTATTAAATATTAGATGATAATTACTAGAAGAAAATCATCAACAAAGGTTTAAATTACAAAACAGAAAATCAGTTTTATCTAGATTAAAGTTGTTTCTTATTTTATAACGTGAATCTTTAGTTCGTAGCTTACTGTTGATTAACTTGTAACGGTAAATAAATCTTCAAAATCAATAACTCTGTAAGTCTTCGACATTTAATGGACTCAACTAGCTAAAGGCGCTTGATCATGAATCCGCACTAGATCACAAGTTGGTACACTATGCTCAAATTGTCTTGCAACCGCTAGCCAGCTTAGATTAGTCACTTGTCAATATATTGATATTTTATCGAATATTATCTTCTAACCTTTTCATATCTGACTTTTGATTTCATTGGTTTGGCACATTTCGATTATAGGAGGTGTTATTGGTTAAGGTGTTGTCAAACTCTAAATGCTTGTGATATCTTTAACCTCTAACCATTTAATACAACGGTTAACAGTGATTGAACTGATTTGCAGTACAACTGTATTACATTGATTATATATATCTATGCGTTAACCGACAAAATTCTGTGACATATTTGGATTGTTAATTAGATGGAAATTTGGATGTCTGTTAATCTAGTACATTTAATAAAAATTGTAGACATTCATTTATATTTAAGCAAATGAATAATTCCTTTATAAGAATTTATGACTATTTACTCAAAATACATGTTTGCAGTTACTTCTCTGTCTGACTTCAGCTGGTATATTGTCAGGTCGTGCTGCTTTCCCACTACTGATTTGTCTGGTGGCCATTCTGATTTCTTCGATCGTTGGTAGAGTGAAATCTATAGGAAGGTGTGTGTGTGTGCTGCTCCGGTGTCCGGTGGATTCAATGGAGCTAACCTATTCAAGATTTTCTCACGGTGTTCTACCCATCTTTTCCTACATTCTTGAATCTCAGTGATTGTTTTAACCTCTTCGTCTTTGACCAGTCTATCTGGTTTGCTATGTTTTCCTGTTTGCTTCTTCATCGTGCCAAATGGCTATTTGATTTTTCCTTCTGTTGCAGATTTTTCCGCAGCCATTGCTAGGTCTTCTACGTATTTCTGCTTGTCGGCTCCAAATCTCCTCTTCAATTGCTTGTTTGCTTCAGTGAATTCAGCTTGTGCCTTACTTGCTCTGTACTTATTCGGCTGTTGTTATTCGCTGTCTTCTCTTTCTCCCTTTCTTCAATCTTGTCCGGGATTTCGATGGTGATCCGTTCCTCATGCTGATGCTTGTTGTGGCTCAGCACTTCCTGACACGTTGAAGTTAGTGCTATAACTTGTGGTATTGTGTCCTTGGCTTTTGTTTACTTCCCGTCGCCAATTGTTATTACTTGTTGATTTGTGCCCCTATCAATGTGTACCGTGATGATACCGCCAATTAGATAATTGTGAATTATTGATCGGACCAGTGACGCTTAAAACCCATGCGAGCACTCTAGAGTCCTTATCGGTTCAGCTTTCTGTCAAGCCCAGCCAGTTAAGTCCAGAACACCAATCTCAGTCTCTGAAATATGAATCATGTATTCCAAACATACGGGGTTTATATACAAACCAAACAGACCACATCGTATCATAAAATAGGAAATAACTTTTATACAAAATTTAACCAAATGTAGCTGTGAGTGTGTGAGGTATTTATTAATAGACAGGGCATAATTCACAAATGGTAAATCGTAGAATAATAGTTCGTAGGTCAAAATAAAGCTCATAATAAAAGGGACATGAATATGAATAATTTAGTTATTTAACAATTATATGATAAAAATATACGCATTGTATTGGTCCATAAGTGGGTACCAAAAGTTACCATTCATTATGCTTATCGGAACATAACGGTTAGCGCTTCTTTGATGCCTTTCCAGTTATCCTCCATGGTGATTTCTTCTCATTTCAGTAGACCTTGTAGGGCTTCGAATCTGTTGTTGACAGCTATCTCGAATTGTTTGAGTTCGACAGTATTTTGAAGGAACGCTGTATTGAACCTTTGTTTCCCCAGTTGCTCAGTGCTCCTTTAGCCTCACTTTCATCTTGGTAACCACCAATTGGTGGTGATACGTAGTTATGTCAGCTTCTACCCTGGTTCTCACGTCTTCTATTGACCTTCCGAATTCTTTAGTGATGCAAATACAGTCGATCTGGTTTTGTGTAATGCGGTCCAGTGAGACCCATGTGGCTAGCTTTGTGTATGCGTTTGTGTGGGAATATTGTGCCGCCTATGACCATTTTGTTGAATATACATAAATTTGCAAATCTGTCACCTTTCTCGTTCCTTCCTCCCAGTCAGTTCATGTCGTCCCATGATATCTTCATATCCGGTGTTGTCCATTGGCACTTTTGCATTTAGATATCCCATCAAGATGGTCAGGTCCTTTCCTGAGTACTTCGCTCTGATTGGTTGAAGCCACTCGTAAATCTGACCTTCATCTTCGTCGCTGCTATAATTGGTGGGTGCATAACGTTGAATAACATTCATTGCGTTTCCCTCCTTTTTTGTCTTGAAAGATGCTTCGATGATTCTGGCTCCTTGAAATTCACATCCTATAAGTGCTTTACGTGCTTCTTTGGACAGCATCAGTCTACTTTTCAACCAGATCACTTTAATTTGTTACTCTAGTTTACCTGATATATGAATGTGTTGATTAGAGTAGATTGATGATAACGTTATAATTGTAGAAATAGGTAAAGTTATTATGATAAATTTATGATTACTAATAGTATTATTTACTAAATCACATCAAAAGTTTATATTTGCTTAAATCATTTGTGTCATATTATCAATTGTTTTAAAAGCATTTTAATCTACTGTTTCTATTTATTTTGACATCTTTATTTTTCATCACTTACTGGCAAACATTACTTATTAAAATTATGAATCAATGCAAATGTGGCCACAACTGAAAACACAGAAACACTATATGGCTGTTTTGTTCTAGTACACGACTTCTCGGTAGTACATATTCACGACCTCGCACACGGCAATCGAACCTAGGGCCTTCAGTCTCGTGCGCGAACGCTTAACCTGTGGACCACTGGCCTGACATTCATTGGTGTATAAGTCTAACTTCAATCTGTCAACGACACATATCTGACATTTTAGAATATTTAACATCCATGTCTCAGCTATAAAAAAATATTTATTTGAGTTGAATGAACAATATATTCTATTGTACAACCATCGTTTGTTTTCATATTCATTATTCCTTATTTTGACCTTATATAAAACTCACTATTAGAATTAATTAGGTCAATTCATGTGTTTCATTCCATCAGATGTAAAATAATTGTTTAAGAAAAATGAATGTTTAGTAAAATTGACCTTACCATTTTAATAAAATTTCTTAACCTATCGAGTAAATTTAAAATGTTCCTTTTTTTCCCCCAAAAAAGAAAACGTGACAAAAATAAAACAGGTCAAGTGAAAGTGTGCTATATTTTCTGTTAACATCTTCACCTGGATCTGATGTTATAGTAATTTGTTTGTACAGAAAAAGTTAATTGTTTTCTTCCTATTGTTTGTCTTATTAATTCATGAAATTTATTCGTATTTTTATTTACTTTATATATATATATATATATATATATATATATATATATATATAAATGGAAGACATTGCTCTGGACAGGATTGGATGGAAGGTGCTGGTGGGCGGCCTATGCTCCTCCACGAGGAGTAACAGAAGTAAGTAAGTAGGCAAGTAAGTAAGTAAGTATGTAAGTAAGTAGGTAAGTAAGCAAGTAGGTAGGTAGGTAGGTAATTTATTAAGTAAGTAAGGATTTATATCTTTTGATCTGACATTATTATGGTTGGATAATACAACTGTAAAATTATATTATAGTTTATGAGTATTAACTCATCAAGCGAAATGAAATGTTAATGTATAAAAAGAGGATGAATCTGATGGTAGAGAAAAAATGTCCCGTATTTACTATATATGTATATTCATCATGAAAGTACATCACTTCAATGGAAACCAAGTAGCATAAGTCAACTGTTTTATTTCTATTTCATATAAATTATTATTATTGAACAATCACACACTCACACCATATTGAATTTTTTTAAAATATCTATAGATGTTTTCTTTCAATCAAGTTCTGTAGCACTGCTGAATTCGAATCAAGGTGAAACTTTGATTAAAACAAGTAAATCTTGGTTTTTTTTTCATACTCTTTTGGAGTCGTAGATTATTATGTCTATTACACAAAAGGTGAGTAAATAGAATCAATCAGAAAAACAAGAAAGTAAAACATAAACAATGAATAACGATCGAATTTGTAATGAAATTATAAATTACGAGAATTAGTCGTACTTATAGGAGTACAATTCCCACAAATCAGTAGTTAAATTAAGTCAGGTCACATCAATACTAGAATAAGTTAAAGCAGTGAGTGTTTGAAAAAAAGTATTATTGGTCACGTAAGTAATGGTTTTAACTAACATCTACAGCCTTCAGTTTTCGTGGTGAGCACTATACCTTTAAATTGGTGAAGTGGAAACGAATGTTTCACATTTTGATACAATCATGAATTACTCTCATCGACAAATTACTGTTTGACTCTCTACATCAATGTTTGATTCATACTGAACTTTGAGAAATATACATAAAATCTAGTCATAGCAACACTAACGTCAAACGAAGAAAGTTAATGTTAAAAATCACTTTCAAACTATACAAACTATACAACAATGATTTTAATAAAAATTTGATTTAATCAGTTGTAACATAATTAAATGATAAATGGATAATCAATAAAAATCGTCAATAATTCAAATGTTATCTGTATGGGGGTTTTTAGGGATTGTAGAAATTTTAATAGTTCAATTCATGAATCGATCTAAGCTAGACAAACACTGGAAACTTAGAAGTGTTGAACAACCGTCTCTCCCTAGTATGGGACTCCTCAGTAATGCACATCCACGGTTCCCCTTGTGGGACTCGAACCCAAGACCTTTTGTCTCTCGCTTAAACACTTAACATCTATACCATCAAGCCATGACCAATGAAGTCCAGTCCGTACCAGACAATGGATGAATGGTTGCACAGCCGTTCATGGATCAATACTGACTCAGTGGTCTAGAGGTTAAGCGTTCGAGCGCGAGACTGAAGATCCTATGTACGAGTGAAACATGAGGGATCGTGGATGTGCATTACTGAGGAGTCCTATACTAGGGTGAGACGGTCGTCCAATGCTCCCAGATTTACAGTGTTGGTCTAGCTAAATCGACTCATGAATTCAACTATTAAAATCCAAACGTTGGACTAGATTTATGAACGAAAGTTGTCTACATATATTTGAAAACAAAAATCATATTTTAAATTACATGTTTGAATTACGTGATTGAAACGATTCAGAAAGATGCAGTATAAAGTCGTTAGCATACGATTCTGAGTAGTTTTGTCATTATTTAGTAACTATTTCAAGATGATTGGTATCTATTTAAAATGATCACCTAGTGAGAAAAATAACTGGTGATTAGATGTTTGAAAATAACTCAGTGGTCTGTAACCTGTCATTTTTATAAAACTGGCTTAAGCATTCCATTTAGGGTTTGGAACATTCCCTGAGCCATCCTGTACAATTATGAATGTTAGATAATTTTCATTTGGTCAAGTTTGATCCTATTAGGTTAAATTATTCATCAACTAAACCTGTAATTATCAGTCGAAAGTCATTTTAAAGCGATGTTAAATTGAAGTGAATTTAAAGCACAGTTTTACATAAATTTTTTATTACTATCAGAAAAAGTATTTCCTTCATCTTAAATACAAAATAATCATTATCGGTATGATTGAAAGAATGACTTAAAAGGTTACCGGAAGAAGTTATGATTTTAAAAATGAGGATGGTAATATGAGTAGATACAATGTTTCCTTAGGATAGATCATTGACAAATTATCTGTATCGATAATTTGTTTATACAATAAATGAAGTAAAAGCGTATATGAGGAGCTCTACTGTTGATAATACAGTATCCGGGTTAACAAATTGCTGGTTACTATGTGTATGACAATAAAGGGAATTACCAGTTCTATATAGGAGCATTTACTCAACTGTAGACGCATCTCTCCAAATGAATCTCTTAAAGTAATCTACAGAGTCAAATGAATCGGATCGAAAGGATGTCGAATCAATATTTTATGCATTGCTGAGGCATTGGCAATCGACGAACTTTGCTTGCAGAAATGATTTATCTAACCTCTCATCGTTCATTGGCGTACACATAGTAATCAGTAATTCAGTATCTCAGACTATATTCTAACTATACAAAATATAATACTTGATCTATATATATATTAATAACAACATTTTCAAATGAAATCAAGTAATTTACATCTGTTCAAATACATACTGTTTAATGATAGTAAAATATAAAAATACAACTGGATACCACTCATTACTATTATCATTTACCTTAAATATCACTAATCATTGATCAAATGTTCTTTGATTATTCAGATAAAATCGTACTCAGTCAAAACATAAATCAAAGTGAAAACTAAGATCAATAAGAAGATTCTATGGCTTGTTAGACTAATCTTTCTATCCCTCTATCATTTATATCACTCTTATTTAAATAATAATAATCATAATAATGCTATGGTATATTGTTTAGATGTATTTTTGCATTATATTACACATAGAATTATGTCAATCTTTCAAAATGTAACACTATTCAATTCGTGTATTTTAGTAGTATAAATAATCTTTAGATAAACAATGTCTGATTTAGATAAATTTAAAAGAAAACAAAATAACAAATTATTATTGAATGATGGAAAATTACAAAATGAAGCAAAAATAAAGCTGAATTTTATTAGATATTAAATTGACTATAAAATTACATAATCAGAAATAATTTTGTTTTATATATTTTTGTATTATTTTTTGACAACGATTGTTAGTAGGATTTAAGTGTTAATGTTTTAAATAGAATTTACTACATGGTAACTGGTATTGACTTCAATTTGGTGGTTATTTATCAAATTTAAGGATCGAATATATATATATATATATATATATATATATATATATATATATATATATATATATATATATATATATATATATAACAAGTTTAAGACAAAGCAAAAGGTATATTGTGAATTCGACTTCTTATTACTGAATGTATATGATATCAAGGAATAGTTATGTAACAAAAGACTAACTTATTTAGTTCGAAAAAGAACATAGACAACGAGAAATATACTCGATTATATATGAATATTTTTCAGTAAACGGAATACACCCATTAAGATATTAAGTCGTCAGTCAGCTGCAACGTAGGACCAGGCACATATGTACATCGGTCCAAGTTGCCATACCTCATTAACACAACAAGATGGACACCGGATTCATGGAAGTAGTTAATTCAGAGGTGGTAATATATAAAAGAAAGATTGCATATAAGGATATAGTACAGGAAGAAAGAATTAGTTCGTACGAAGAAAGATATGAAGCGATTTTAATCTCTTAGTTTAAGAGAAGACAGAGAGTGTATACACCGACGCCATTGTGATCGATTCTCAGCCATATCATGAAGAGTCTTTAACCATTAGTTACGATAGTCACGCGGACCCCAACCAAGTAGTCTGCATCTATCAACATGGCTCAGACTAGAAGTTAGTGAC